GTTCAGTGCTGGGGACTGTCCCCAGCGGCACTCAGGGGACCTGTGGTGTCAGGAATTGAATCTGGTTTCTTGAGCACCAGACAGGAGCTCCCGCCTGTGGAGCTGTCTCTCCTTGGGCTCTCAGCACATGGATAACCAAATGAGGCGCATGGAAAGGAAGTCGGGTGTGCCAGAGAAGCAGGATAGAGTTCGATCCTTGGTACCACAGATGGTGCCCCGCCGAGCCCTGCCAGGAGTGACCCCTGAGTTTAGAGTCAGCAGTAATCCCTGAGTACGGCTGGGGGTGGCCCCCTACAAGAAAAATTAAGGTGTAGCGAATTCTAGGATGGAAAGAGGGAGCTCCTTTGGGGGGGGGGGGAGTTTTCCCTGTGGGGATTCCAGTGGGCAGAGACTGGGATGTAGTGAGTTTGTCTAGAGGACAAATGGCAAAGGAATGAATGAATGAATGAATGAATGCTTCAGTGTGTTGGAAACCTAGCCTGGAGATGAAAGGAGTACCGAGGGTGGAACTTGAAGTAGGGAACTATGTTTATTTGTTTGGGGACATACCCAGTGCATCTCAGAGCTTACTGCTGGCTCTGAGCTCACGGATCGGATCGCTCCCTGGTTGGGTGGGGTGCTGGGAGTGGGGGACCATATATCGTGCCGGGGATCAAATCAGGCCTGTGGGGTGAAAGACAAGCACCCTCTCTGCTGTCCTATGGCTCTGGGATCACTCCAGGGGACTCTCGAGACCATTGCCTTGCCTTCTTCCACTAAGAAAAACAAGCAGGGCAGGAGAGTTCAGTGGTTATCTCGCACATAAGCCATCCCAGCACTGCATGTGGTCCCTTGAGCACTGCCAGGAATGATCCCCGAGCACAGCTGGGTATGACCCTCAAACTAGAACAATCACAAAAAGCATCCCTCTCCCCCCCTCCTCCAATCAGGGCAGTGAGAGGCAGAGTATAAAGCACATTCCTTGCTGGAGTGAAGCCAGGGTCCCACCCCCGCTGAAACACGCCCCCCCCAACTCCCCTTGTCTTGCACAGCGGTAGGGTGTTTGCCTTGCATGCAGCCAACATGGCCAACCTGAGTTCGATTCCTCCGCCCCTCTCGGAGAACCCAGCAAGCTACCGAGAGTATCTCGCCCGCACGGCAGAGCCTGGCAAGCTCCCCGTGACGTATTCGAGATGCCAAACACAGTAACAACAAAGTCTCCAATGGAGACGTTACTGGGCCCGCTCGAGCAAATCGATGAACAACAGGAGGACAGTGACAGTGACAGTGACACCACTTCAGATGGGACACTGAATGGAGACAGTCCAGACGGGGGAAGATCTTTTCTTTTCCCAGGGGCAGGGGAATCCTTTTGCCCCCAAGCTGAGAGTCAGGGAACTGGTTTATCGCTACTATTCCCTCGGGGCTACTGTTCCCACAGGGACAGATCCTGTCTCCTGGTCCCAGCCTGGGCAGAGGTGGAATGTCCTTTGAGGAAGTGACCCTCTGATGGCATGAATTGTGCAGAGAGGCTCCTTAAGAGCGCGTAGAATGGGGAGGGGGGGCTTTTAAGAGCGTGTAAATAGCACAGCGGGTAGGGTGTTTGCATGTGACCGACCCGGGTTCAATTCCCAGCATCCCATAGGGTCCCTGAGCACTGCCAGGAGTAATTCCTGAATGCATGAGCCAGGAGTAACACCTGTGCAACGCCAGGTGTGACCCAAAAAGAAAAAAAAATAGAACGCATAGAATGGGGGCTGGAGAGATAGTATACAAATGACCGTATTTGATCTCCCTGCATCCCCTAGGGTCCCCTGAGCCCCGCCAGGAGTGATTCCTGAGTGCAGAGCCAGGAGTAAATGCCTGAGCATTGTCGGGTGTGGCACAAAAACCAACCAACCAACCAACTAACAAAAGAATACATAGAATGATTACACTCATTTGTGGGATATAAAAAACAGAGACTATTACCCATGGACAATAGAAATGAGGGCCAGGAGGACTGGCCCATGGTTGAAAACTTGTGAGGGGAAAGGGGAGAGGGCTGTTAGAATTGAGTGCTAAAACTAGGTAAAAGGATATACATGGTGACCTTATAGTACCTGCACCATAAACCAGAAGGAATGGGAGGGGTGGGGCAGAGAGAGAGAGAGAGAGAGAGAGAGACAGAGACAGACAGAGACAGAGACAGAGACAGAGAGACAGAGACAGAGAGAGAGAGAGAAACAGAGAGAGAGAGTGAGAGGGAGAAAGAGACAGAGAGAGAAACAGAGACAGAGAGAAACAGAGACAGAGACAGAGAGAGACAGAGACAGAGAGACAGAGACAGAGACAGAGAGACAGAGACAGAGAGAGACAGAGACAGAGAGACAGAGACAGAGAGAGATGCGTCCACCTTAGAGGCAGACTGGGGGTGGGGGGTGGAAGGAGGGAACCCGGGGACATTGGTGGTGGGATGGGTGTTGGAACCTTGTATGACTGAAACTCAACCACGGCCAACTTTCTAACTGTGTATTTCATGGCGATTCACTTAAAAAAATTAAAAGAAAAGAAAAAAAAAGAGGCTGCGGCCAGGCTCAGGCTCAGGTCCCTGGGTGTCCTTGGAAGTCCAGAGGTGGCCTTTCCTCGGCTTCCGGATCAGCAGCTCCGGCCTCTCCCGGTCCAGGCTAAAGTCACGTCTCAACGGGGCCACTCAAACAGCCTATTTTGTGTCTTAGCATAGGCGCTCTCTTCCTCAGAGGGTGCAGAGGTGTGTCTCAGTTTGCATTTCCCAGATAACCAAAAGTCCCTTCCGACCCTTTGGCTCTCTCCTTCCTGGGAAATAAATACCTTCTCCCTGGAGCCTTTGTGGCCAGAGCCCTCCCCGGGTTGGTCCCGGTGAATGGAGTTCGCAAGCATGGCCCGGGGCAAGCTCCTCCTCCCAGCACCTGGCTGGGAATGCCCCCCCCCCCCCCCATCATTGCTGGGTGTGGTCCAAAGGCAAAAACAAACAGAAGCAAAATGTTTATCAAGCCCTTGCCTAGGGCTTTGTTTCCTCCTACTGGGCCGTCACTATAAATATGTGCCCTCAGTTTTGCCTGTTTTGGGGTCAAACCTGGAGTTATTTGGGGGCTACCGCTGGGTCGGTGACACCAAGTGGTCACTCTTTTTGTTTTTCTTTTTGGGTCACACTCAGAGGTGCTCAGGGGTTACTCCTGAGAGAGAGAGAGAGAGAGAAACACGCTCAGGGGAGAGCATGGGCTTCTCCAAGGGCAGAGAGAGCCCCTACGCACACGCCAGCATTAGACAGGAAAGTGAACATCTCAAGAGGCCGCCGACACACGTGATGGGCACAAGCAGCACACGGGCTCCAGCAGTATATGCACATTTAAAAAAAAATCTGATATCTTTTCCTACGGAGTGGACCATTTTTCTCTTAATCCTAATTTTTGATGAAGAGAAATTCCTACTGCATTTATATCTTTGCTTTGCAGTGCTGGGGATTGAACCCAGGGCCTCATGCATACAAGACAAACGCTCTACGAATGCGCTACACCCCAGTTCTTTCTATCTATCTATCTATCTATCTTTAGTGGGGCTTGGAGATCCATGATGAGCATTGAACCCCACCTGAGCTCATGCTCCAGTTCACTCGGTCTTCTCTCTGACCTTTAATGTAATTGTTGTTTTGGGGTGTTGTGGGATGGAACTTAGAGTCTCACAAGTATCAGGGATGTATATGCTTTACCACTGAGCCACATCACTGACCCTGGAAATTTCTGTGTACGTATGTGTGGTTTTGGGGCCACACCTGACAGTGCTCTGGGTCTCCTGCCTGCACGCAAAGCATTTGCAAACAGCCTTTGAGCAATTCCTCAGGGACCCCTGGGTAAATTCAGACTGTTGAAGCGACATGGGGAGTGATCAAAACTCAGATGATTCCAGCTCTTAAGGGAGTTCAGGTCCTGGCCTTCCCTTCTGCTCTGTCTCTCCCTGGGCTGTCACTGCCCTCTGAGGTGATGGGGAGTCCATGTGAGGAGACACAGGGTCTATTTGGGTGGAGGCTTTCAGGACGTGGCTTATCTAAAGTCACACAATCCCTTGAGGCCATGTCAAGCTCTGAACCGAAATCCTGGTCAAGTTTTCAGCTTTTCTTCTCTCTCTGTCTCTCTATTTCTCAGTGTCCCACTCCACCCTACCACCGGGTCTTTGCACCTGCTGTCCGCCCCTTAGGTCTCTGCACAGGCCATCTGTCCAGAGGCCTTCTCTGAGCACGCTCATCACGTTTTGCCTTCGGAACTCAGCAGTGCCGAGTCTTACGGTCGGGGTTCGGGGTTCGTTTACGTTCCAAGACAAAGATGCTCTCGGTTCCCTACTTTGTAGCATCCTCAGAGCCAAGAGCCAGCACTCGGGGGAACTGAATGAACGAATGAACGAATGAATGAATGAATCCAGGGGCAGCTGGGGGGTGGGGAGGGGAAGCCCCCAAGCCGTCAGTCCCTGCCCCGCGGCCGCAGACACGGCCAAGGACCCCTTAGTTCCCGACCTGGGGTGGGGGAGCGGCGCCCAGCCGCGAGCCGACCCTCCCCGGAGCGCCGGTCCCCGAAATTCTGGGCGGCGGCCGGGCCGGCTGAGGGACTGTCGCTATTTGTCGAGGTTCCCTCGGCGCCGCCGAGCCGGGCGCAGGGGCCCGGCGGGGGGTCGCGCGCGCGCGCCGGTCTTTCGCGACGGTGCCCGGAGCGCTGGCCCCGCCCCCCGGCCCGCCCGGCCCCGCCCCACCCCGCCCCACCCCGCCAGGCCCCACCCCGGCGAGGCCCGGCCCCGCCCCCGGCCCGCCCGGCCCCGCCCCCGGCCCGCCCGGCCCCGCCCCCTCCCCGCCCCCGCCGCTGCGCCCGCTCGGCCCGGGCCGCGCCGGCCCCCGCCCGCTGCTTCCTGTGGCCCGGCCCGCGGCGGCCGGCGGCTGGGAGCGGCGAGGCGGCGGCAGCGGCGGCGGCGCGGACGGCGGTCGGCGGGACCCGCGAGGAGGAGGCGGCGGCGGCGGCGGCGCAGGCGCGGAGCGGCGGAGCAGGCCCGGCCCGGCCCGGCCCTGGCGCGGGCGCCCGGCTGCAGCATGCGCGTCCGCCGGGGGCTGCTGCGGCTGCCGCGCCGCTCGCTGCTCGCCGCGCTCTTCTTCTTCTCGCTCTCGTCCTCGCTGCTCTACTTCGTCTATGTGGCGCCCGGCATAGGTAGGCGGGCGCGGGGGGGGGGGGGCTCGGCGACCCCGGCCCGGAGCCCGCCGCGCTGCTTCCCGCCCAGCCCCCCGGGCGCGCGCCCTCCCGCCTCCCCGGGGACCCCCGCTCCCCGCCCCCCTGCGCCCGCGCTCGCCTCCACTTTCCCCGCGCCGCGCGCCCCCGACCCCCGGCCCGGCCCGCGGGAGACCCCCGCGCTGCCCGCGCCTGCCCAGGGACACACCCTGGTCCCCCTCCGGGTGCCCCCTTCCTTCCCCGCGCGCCCGCAGGTCCTGCGCCCCGGGTCCCGGGGCCTCCAGCCGCGCCAGCCTCCCCGGGGGGCCCGAGGGGGCAGCGCTGGGCAGCGGGAGGGCGCGGAGAGGGGCTTCCCGGGGAGGGCGAGGGGCCTTGGGGGCCGGGGGGCGCGGCCGGCCGGCGGGTCCAGCCCGTGCACCCCCGCCCCGGGGACCGGGCCGGGAGCGTCCGCGGAGACGCGGCTGGAGGCGCGAGGTCCCAGGACTCGAGGGAGGTCGGGCTGGCGCCCTCCTCGACCTTGGGCCGGTGGTGCCCGAGCCTCGGCTGTGCCGCCCTGAGACTTGGGGGGCTTCTCTCCGGCCCCGCGGGGCGTCGGGGCGGGAGGCGCCCGCGCGACTGGTACCTGGCGCCTTACCCGACGCCGAGAGCCGGGGCGCCTCGCCTGGGACTCGAGGGAGCAGACGGGGCACGAGGGGTGATGTGACCGCCACTGGCATCATCCAGTGGACCAGGGGAGCCAAGGAAACGGTGTCTAGGGTGGAAGGTGAGAAGGCCCCGCCGATGATGTGCAAGGGGGCGCCGGGGTCTGCGGTGGAAATCTTGCGCTTTGGGAAGAGGCTCCTGGTTTCACCGGGATGGTGGTGACGCTTCGTGCCATTTGCTTTGGGCACTCAACATCAGACGGGCTGGAGAGAAGTTGCAGACAGAGCGGGCATCTGTGCGTGTGTCTGTGCCTGTGTGTGTCTTTTTGTCTCTGTCTCTTTCCCTCTCCCTCCCTCTCTCCCCTCTTGAGCACTTTCTCTCTGTCGTTAATCTTGGCTGCTTGTGCTGCAAACTAGGTTCCAGGAGGCTAGAGCAGGTCGCGTGGGGTTGCTTGCTCTAAGGGTCCTGGAGGGGGTTGGTTGGGTAGTGGCAGAGCAAGAGCAGGTGAGTTCTTAGGGGGGTTGAGAAAAAGAGTTCCTCGGCATACAGGGCACTAGACTCCACGGGAAGGGAGCGGGACATGATGTATTTGAACACAGAGGTGCTGTCAGAGCCCATGAACCCTGGAGTGGGCAGGTGAGACAGCCTAATCCAAATGGAAAAACAGAGCCTCCTGGCAGGATGACGAGAAAGATGAGAAGATGACAGGACCCAACAGAAATGGGTCCTGTCAACTTAAAATTCCTCAGCGGGAGGATTTTGGGACGGTGGGAGCCCAGTGAGTGAAAGTCCCAGGCTTCTGTGGTACTTAGATCCCAGCGTTGCAGGCGAAAGATTGCAGAACACTTAGAAGTCGATTAGTGCCTCTTTGGATCTGAGTCTCCTGAAGGACAGACCGTCCCTCTGGGAGAGGGAACAGTAGGAAGGGTGCGGAGTGGTTCAGACAAGTTTGCTTACCTTCAGCTCTTGGTGGCTTTATTTATCTTGGCTTCCTGTTAATGAACTTCATTTTTCAAGTGACCAGCTTTGGACAGTTGGGTGACAGATGATTTTAGAATGTTAAGCAATTTGGAGAAATACAAGGTTTTTTTTTTTTTGTTTTTTTGTTTTTTTTTTTTTTTGCGTCCTGCCTGGCATTTCTCAGGATTTCCTGCTGCTTCTGTGCTCAGGGATCACTCCCAGCTGTGCAGAGGGATCACTGTGGGGTGCCTGGGATCGAACCATGGTTAATCACCTGCATGGCAAGCGCCTTCTTTTTTTTTAACATCCCTCCTTCCTCCCCTCCCCCCAGTACAGGGTCTTACGTGCTTTGGGATATGAACACCTTATTTATTTATTTTGCTTTTTGGGTCACACCTGACAATGCTCAGGGGTTCCTCCTGGCTCTGCACTCAGGAATTACTCCTGGTGGTGCTCAGGGGACCGTATGGGATGCTGGGGATCGAACCCAGGTCGGCCACATGCAAGGCAAACGCCCTACCCACTGTGCTATTGCTCCAGCCCCATGAACACCTTATTTGAGACAAAGTACTTCAGTGAGCTTACTATAAAATAGTAGGTCAAACCATTATGAAATTCCTTTTTTTTTTTTTTGTAGGTCAGAAACGGTTGTGTATCAGCAGTTTGATAGAGCTTAACCTAAAAAAAAAACGTTTCTGAACAATGACACTTCTGTTTTCTGGCACAATGGGAAGTGTCACACTTGTGTTTCCTTCCAGGTTTTTTTTTTTTTTCTAGGCCTTGCTTTTGATTCCCTTTCTAGACCCCATGGCCTCAGGGGCCAGATAGGTCCCAACACTCCAAGGGTGTGTTGTAACTATGGTCAGAAGATGGGAGACAGTTCAGACAACATTCTAATTGTATATGTGTCAGAGTCGTTCATGTATAATAAGGCCAGGCACCATGTCAGCCTGCCGTTAACTTAGGATTTGGGACAGCCCAGGCTGGCTCCTTCCCTGGGTTTCGCTCAGTCCCTGAGCAGAAGAAACGCTTTTGGACTGGAGTCATCCCAAATCAGTGTGGCCACCATTTATTTGGTCTGGAAAACTTGATGTAAGGAAAAATCCCTGAATGTGATATGGGTTTGTGATATAAGCCCGAAGGGCTCTTAGCGACTTTTAATTTCCTCATTCCGATTCAGTTGGTTTTGATTTTGTTATTATTGTTACTATTATTCTATGGGCCGTCCTTCGTGGTGGGGAAGGGTGCCAAGGCCTGGGATGGCCTGGTTGGGGCTGGGCCCTAGGTTTTGGGGTCCGCTGTGCAATGGGGGTGTCATGGCCTTCGTACGAGGTCATGGCCCTGTGCTCTCCCCAAGTGCTTCCATCTCCCCTTGTCTTTTTAAAGTACAGCTCCAGGGGCTGGAGCGATAGCACAGCGGGGAAGGCGATTGCCCTGCATGCGGCCGACCTGGGTTCGATCCCCGGCATCCCATATGGTCCCCCAAGCACCGCTAGGAGTGATTCCTGAGTGCAGAGCCAGGAAGAACCCCTGAGCATTGCTGGGTGTGACTCAAAAAGAGTGTATATATATATATATATATATATCAAGCAAATATTTATATACATATACATATATCGTTGGACATTATGTTTTTGTAACTGTTCAGGAGTGTTTCAGATCAGCAGCTTCAAAGGAGGCTTCGGAAGGATGGGGCAGAAGGAGATTTGGAAAGGACGAAGTAAGGGTTGACGGTGATGAGAAATGCTCCCATGCTCTCTGACCCTGCACACACCCTCCAGCCCTCCCCAACCCCCCCCCCCATCCCCTTTGTTTTATCTTGATTTACGGAGCTTGGATTCAGTTTTCACCTTCACCTTTGAGATAGTACTATTCCTTTTCACGTGTTGAAGAAAACTTTGAACTTATTTATGATCCTTTAACTTTAGAAGAATCTCAGAGCTAAGCATGTGCCCGTACCCCAGTCCGATCGGGTCTTTCAGAAGATAACAGGTTGAGCTATTTATTGATGGACCTGTGAAGGGCTGATGGGTTGTGAGGGGCACACCCGGCTGTGCCCTCCGGGATGACCCTTGGCGGGGCTCCAGCGACCTCTGTGCAGTGCTGGCGGTTGAACCTGCCTTGGCCACGCGCAGGGCCTTCGCCCGATATCATTAATCAGGACTAAAGTGCTGATTTTGAAAAGTTCCCTACGTTTATGGGGCCATTGTTTTCTCATATGAAGGCCACTGACCTTTGCCATCTGTCTGTTCAGTTAACTGATTTTGACTTTCCTGTGCAAGTCTATGCATTGATGTAATTTTATTTATATTTGCTCGTTCCTCCTTTCCTTCCTTTTCCCTTTCCCGTTCTCCTCCCCTTCCTCCCTCCCTCCTTCTTTCCCTCCTTCCTTCCTTCCTGGGCCTTTCCTTTACCCCCTATACTGTCTCTTTAACCCTTAGATCAATTTTTATTTTGGTCATTAAATTATTGAAGACAAAGAATGAGAAATGACTTTTCCTTTTTCAGTTTTCGGGCCGCACCCAGAGATGCCCAGGGCTTTCTTCTGGCTCTGTGCTCAGTGGTCACTCCCAGTGCGGCTCAGACTATAGTTGATGCCTGGGATTGAACCCAGATTGGTCATGGTGGTGCTCCCATGTTGACACGATCACCAGTGGTGCTCCCCTCCGGACCCTACCTGCTGTATTATCTTTATTTTTTCTTTTTTGCTTTTTGGGTCACACCCCCTGATGCACAGGGATTACTCCTGGCTCATGCACTCAGGAATTACTCCTGGCAGTGCTCGGGGACCATATGGGATGCTGGGAATCGAACCTGAGTCAGCCGCGTGCAAGGCAAATGCCCTACCCGCTGTGCTATCGCTCCAGCCCCTGCTATACTCTATTTATTTATTTATTTACTTATTTTTTGCTTTTTGGGTCACACCCGGCGATGCTCAGGGGTTACTCCTGGCTCTGCACTCAGGAATTACCCCTGGCGGTGCTCAGGGGACCGAATGGGATGCTGGGATTCGAACCTGGGTTAGGCTGCGAGCAAGGCAAACACCCTACCCGCTGTGCTGTCGATCCAGCCCCTGTACTATCTTTAACCTGCATTTTCCTTTTTCGATTTGCTTAGTTCTTAGTTTGAGGAAATCAGTAATTCTAATCCTACCTGATTCTACTAGCTGACCCTGACAAGTCACTCTCTTATTTAGCAAGAAAAAACAAAATGTTTTTTTTAAAAAAAAAAAACCAGGACATTTATCTAGCTATCTACCTATCTGTTTGTTTTTTTGGTCACACCCAGAGATGCTCAGGGTTTACTCCTGATTCAGGAATTGCTGAATGTTGGGGGAACATATGGGATGCTGGGGATCGAACCCTGGTCGGCCGTGTGTA